AAAAAAGAAATATGGGCCTTTGTTTAACAAGTGGAACAGCTTAGACTTCGGGGGAGAAATTTGGCTCAATCTTCAGCTTCATTATATTGTAGGCCTTATTAGTGTCTTTTAGCTTAATTTTAGTAACAAAATCACTGGTTGAGGTTGCTTGTCCAACATCATCACGTTGTTTGTTGAGTCAATTTGTAAAAATGGATTATGACAGTTGATAGCTCAATCATACTTTTGTTCCTATATGTGTTTTGTTAAAAAAATAACATACTTTAGAAAAATAATATAAGTATAAAAGTATAAGAATATATTTTAGCTCACAAAAATATGATGGATCGATCCGCCTTTACGATTATGCTGTTTTATTTAAGACTTGGTGTTATTTATATTACTTTTTAAAATATAATATTTAAATTTGAAAAAGTATGATAAGACTATGTTTGTCTTATTTAAGACTATGTTATTTATATTACTTTTTAAATATAATATTTAAATTTGAAAAAGTATGATAAGACTGTCTAACAACATTACTATTTATGGACTTACTAGTGTGTACCCCGTGCGATGCACGGAAACAATATTAAATCAACAATATTATAAATAGACCTCGAGTTTGAGTCACTCAATGGCGGAAGTAGAAACTACTATTAATCATATTTAAAAAGATGAAGAAAAAAAATAATTATAAATTAAAGAGGAAGATAAACAATACTTAATAATTATAAATAAAAGATTCGGGGTCAATAAATGTAAAATTATTTTGTATAAAAGAATATAAAATTTGCATTATTTTGTAAAAGAAAATATAAAATTTGGATGTTTAATATTAAAACACCTAAAATATTATATTAGTATATGTAAAAATATTCAAAATTTTCTATATTATGTTTGAAATATATGAAGTCACCTACAACTTTTCTAAACAATTTTAGAAGGAAAACATATCTAAAAATATTTGAATTTAACATTATGTAAAAAAGATTTTTCTAGACTATTTTGTAAAGAAAACATGTCCAGTGTGTACCTCGTGCGATGCACGGAAATAATATTAAATCAACAATATTATAAATAGACCTCGAGTTTGAGTCACTCAATGGCGGAAATAGAAACTACTATTGATCCTATTTAAAAAGATGAAGAAAAAACTAATTATAAATTAAAGAGGAGGATAAACAATACTTAATAATTATAAATTAAAGATTCGGGGTCAAAAAATGTAAAATTATTTTGTATAAGAGAATATAAAATTTGCATTATTTTGTAAAAGAAAATATAAAATTTGGTTGTTTAATATTAAAACACCTAAAATATTATATTAGTATATGTAAAAATATTCAAAATTTTCTATATTATGTTTGAAATATGTGAAGTCACCTACAACATTTCTAAACAATTTTAGAAGGAAAACATATCTAAAAACATTTGAATTTAACATTGTGTAAAAAAGATTTTTCTAGACTATTTTGTAAAGAAAACATGTCTAGTGTGTACTCCGTGCGATGCACGGAAACAATATTAAATCAACAATATTATAAATAGACCTCGAGTTTGAGTCACTCAATGGCGGAAGTAGAAACTACTATTGATCCTATTTAAAAAGATGAAGAAAAAACTAATTATAAATTAAAAAGGAGGATAAACAATACTTAATATTTATAAATTAAAGATTCGGGGTCAAAAAATATAAAATTATTTTGTATAAGAGAATATAAAATTTGCATTATTTTGTAAAAGAAAATATAAAATTTGGTTGTTTAATATTAAAACACCTAAAATATTATATTAGTATATGTAAAAATATTCAAAATTT